AGGGTTGTACCAGTAAAAGAACAGATCCCTTTCACCTTCTTGCTGCCTTTGAGAGTGGTTTGCAACACTACATTTCTCTCCCACTAAGCACAGTGAAAAAAACCATGGGAACAGATCTGGTCATTTTACATCCTGAGTTACCTGGAGGTAAATCCTGTAATCAAAGCAAACTCCCATTTCATTACCTTTATTTACTCTTTTATATGGCAATATTACAGATGGTTAATCATCATTTTACTAGATTCATTCTCTGCTTAGAGCACATCAACCTCTGCTGTTTGTAACAGTGAACATGAAGGGAGGTACTTTGTCTTTCATGTGAGTGCAGAGTTTGGCTGCTGCAACAGATACATTGAATAGTGGCAATGAAGAGTATTGATTAGTCATGCCTTGGAGTCCCTTTTGAAAAATTCTGTGATCTCAAAAAATTTACCTTGCAGGCTGCCTGAGTTCAGCTTCTAGGTTTGAAATACATGACTGAACAGCTTCTCATAGTCATCTTACTTGTTAGTTCTCATCTCTGCTAGGGTGTTTTACACTCTAATTTTCTGTCCTAGGTCATAATAGAAATCCTGGTGGAACTTTTGGCCTAGGAAGACATATAAGAGTTGAAATGAAAATATGTCCCCAATACATTAAATTGTGGTGCCAAGGTGTATATGGTTTCAGGATGCACCTCTTTCATTCTTTATAATTCATGGCTTGAAATTTCAAACATCAGTGTTGTTCAGCAGTGCTTAATAGCGCTAGGTGGCTTATGTGAAAGAAATTATTTGCTGAAAAATATTACTTTAATTCTTTACAAAGAAGACCTGGATTTGCCAGTTGTGGACTACAACCCTACGACAAAATTGTTCTCAGGATTCAGGAAATTAAATTGAATTTCGTCTCCTGAGAGTCAATGTCTGTATTCACTTTGACCTCCAGAGACAGGCTTAACTGGCATGCTGTGGAATTCTAGATGCAACATCTCCTAAATCTTTCCTGCCAGTAGTCCTACTTTTCTATACAATTATTATATGATCTCATAGCAATCATTTCTATACTTAGGATGGTTTTAGCTATTACACTTTCATCACTGAGTGGAAGAACATCAGGGCTCAATGTCTTCTGACAAAAAGGCAGCTGAATTAAAATCTTCTACATGCTTGGTAAATTTCCTAACACTGGATGTTGAGCTAAAAAAATAAGTCGAATTCCTCACAAGATCAATGCCTTTTGGTTTTCTGAGTACTTCTAATCTTTGGGTGGACTCAGCTGTTGAATACAACCCCAAATTCTTAAAATTTGGTTTGACTGAATGTCTCCTTGGTTAGCTGCAAAAATCAAAAGGTGTAAATGCTTTCATAGTGGTTTTTTCGTGATCTTCTATGACATCCTTATAACCTGGAGTAAAATGATAGATAAAGCCACACAAAAGAAGACAAAAAACCCTCTGATGGCTTCCTGGAAACGCCCAGCACCTAGGGAGACATTGCCAGAAACTGACAAAAGGATTAAAAGGAAGGAGTGATATGGAGATATACGTGGCCTTTTTTCTCGAACATCCTGGAACTCGGAAAGTGGACCGTTGGGTCTGTTTCATCTGTCTATCACCCCCAAATTAGTTTATTGACTATAGCCACTCAAGCTGCCTAAAAAAAAAGCTATAAAAAGAGATTGGAACCAAGCAAAGATCCAGGAGAAGTTCCATTAACTCTGTGGAGGTAATCGACGGACTACCTTTTCTTCCTCCACCTTCTTGGAACGCCTTGGGGTGAGCAATTGCTCTATACATATATACTAATTTTGCTTTTGCTCCATAGGACTTTAAATTTTTTACTTACTACTTCATTGTAAGTTGCTTTTGCTTCAGAGTGTGTGCCTATGCTTCATATTACTATTATTACTACAGAGTTTGTGTGCTTTTTGCAGTTAGACCCTATTCCAGACACAGTGAACCCCATAAACTGTCACAAATTTGCATTAATAAACGTGTTGTTTCATGAACTGTTAGAGTGAGTCTGTTTTTAGGTGCCAACAGTTTCTTCACTGGCGAAATAACTCATAGGAGAAACCTGCTGAGGGGTTTTTCTACTGTTACTAAGTGCAGTCCCCGTATATAAAAGGTACCAAACGTCAGCGAATCTCTTAAGTGAAGGGTCTCAATAGGTGAGATGCTAACAGACTGTTTTGGATATTAAAAGGCTTTGATCTCCTGGAGGGGGGACACTGATAGATAAAAAATAAATTAATACAGGTTGGACAGAAAATTCTTCTTTTCTGCCCCTTTTAACGTGACACCTGGCAGGGGTGAAAAAGAAACAATGAAGTATACATCCTTTGTCACCAATACAATAGAACAAAGCCTTGCACATGAGATTCCACTAAGCAGGATTAGTTTACTTAGGTATTGCAATTTTCAGGGTGAGTGCAAAATTGTCTGGAAACTACAGAGAGAGTAAAGTATCAACGGTGCAATGTCAAATGTGGGAACATGCATTTTGCAGAACTCTGCAAGGATCTGTCCTGCCTCTGAACACACTAAAGTTCTTGCTAGCAGTCTGGATTGTAGAATTGAACAATTTTTTTATATTTGTATATGACAGAGGAAAATAGGCTTAAAATCAAAGTGATTTTGATAAACTGGATAAATATTCCAGAAAAAAAAATTCAATAACGACAGTATAAACAGGAGAAATATTCAGCCATAGAAATAGAAACAATGAATTATGTGTTCTTGAGGCAAACAAAACAAACCAGAGTTTAAATTTTTCACAAAATGTTTATTAGTTAACAGGTTATTGCTGTTATAACAAAAGCTTCCATTCCACATGGAAGCATGGAAAAAGAGAACACATTGTGACACATCCACAATTATCCTTCTTTTCTTATAAACACTTAAAAAGGTCCCAAATAGCTTATTAGATCGAGCTTTGGACATTGCTCTTCAAATACAATACAAATCAGTTGAAGACAGCCCTGATGAAAGCGTGAAGCAACATCAGTTCTTGAGATGTCCTGGAGTGCCTACGGAACAGTGTTTGGAAGTGGACTTTAACTCTGTGAAGACTCTGCTTGCTGTCCCTTTGGTGGCTAACGTAACACTCTGAAATTACAGAAAGGAAGGTCCAGGTTAAACATTAAGGAACAGTTTGCAACAGCAAGTCAGAACAGATTGCCTGAGGAGGCTGGAGTGGTGCTATCGCTGGAGGACTTCAGAATTGGTTAGACAACCACTTGTCAAAAATGACACAGATGTAGCTGATTGTGCCTTGGGGCAGAGCCATGGAAGAGCTGACCTCGCAAGGTCCCTTCCAGTTCTACTTTTATGTGAAGAGCATTATGCAATTTCCTCCTATCCCCACCTTCATCGTTCAGTTTTCCTGTTCCTCCCACAAGCTTTCTTTTATCTCCAGCTACTCTCCTAAAAACAACCTTTAACTGCCTCTTGTTTTATGCATATGTAGGAAATCCTTTCTGCACGAGACAGTTCTGTGGATGGACAAGACCGATCTCACCCATGGAAAAGGAGAGGACTGCTTCTCACCATTTGTAGAGAGATGCACTGTGGTTACAGAAAGAGGATTCTTACTGCAGGATTAAGACCTAGACAATCAAAAATATTTTAGCCACTGATAGAAACATGGACTGTTGCTGAAGTGGTACCTTTCTATATGCAGGACAGAAAAAAAAAAAGAAGTTAGATATACCTTTATTTTTCAATATTCATTCTGAACGCATTGATGTTAAAAGTCTCATACACGTTTCCCCACTGTTTGATGTGACAAAGCTTAAAGGGCACTAGGTCCTAGTAAGCTTAACCTGAGCGTCCTCCTATTTTGCTGAGAGGAGTTAGTTTGAGAAGAAAAGGTAATTGCACTGCGTAATCAGAACGAGCAGTGAACTCTTGACCAGAAGCCCAAACGGGTCCGGTTGCAACAAGCTGGGTACAAGTCGACATTGCTTTGTACACCTCCTTCGCTCGGTGCTGCTACCGAAGTGGGGGGTGATCGCGTTTCGGAGAAGGCTGGAGCTGCTGGGGTTGCGGTCAGGCAGCCTCGGGAAAGGCGGCGCCGCGGGGGGAGCGCAGGGAGAGCCCAGCAGGTGAGCGCCCCGACACTGCCCGCCGCAGCGGGCCGGGCCCCCGGGCAGGGAGCAGCCCGCGGGCTCTCCGCGCGGTTCCCCCCGCGTTTCACGTAGCGCCGAGGAGGACGGACCGGAACGGGAATTGCAAGCCCCGTCCCCGGTGCGCGGCGGCAGAGCCGGCAGCAGCGGCAGCAGCACCGCCCGGCTCCGGCCCGCGGAACGCGCGCCGGGCTCCCGCTCAGCGCCTCGCCCGCCGAGGCAAAATCCGCGGAGCCGGCGGATGGCGCACAGGGGGCGGCCGGGATGAGGGGGCGCGGTGGGGCGGGCTCGATGTCGCCTGCCCCCGGCCCGGCCGGCGCACGTGGTGGCGGGGGGCGCGGGGCCGCCCCTCCTTGCCCGCCTCCCTGGCGCGGAGGGGCGCGCTGTGCCGCTGCTCCGGCATCAGCTCTCTTCTAATGTTTTGGCGTGGTTTTCTTTTTTTTTTCTTTTTTTTTTTGAACTCTTGCTTAGCAAATTGCGCTTGATGAGCTCATGATGCCGCGCCCCCCGGCCCGGTCCCGGGCAGGCAGCGGGACGTGAGGCGGGCGGGCGCGGCCAGGCGCGGGGGCTGCGCGCAGCGATAGCGCTCCGGCGGAGCCGGGCGGAGGGGGCGCTCTTGGTCCCACGCTGCTTACTGGACTCGGCTTGTGGGGCTTTTCCCTCCTTTTTTTTTTTTTTTTTAAATATTTCTGTTGCCCCTCTCCCTCCGTGTGCCGGGCTGTTTGCCGCTGTGCGCGCAGGTGGATCCATGAGCTCCGCCAGGCGCGGCACCGCCGCCGCGCAGCACCGCGCCGGGGCGGGGGAGCGGCCGCCAGCCTCGGCCCCGCCGCCGCCGCCGCGGGGGGCGGCCCCGCCCGGGCACGGGGTGGGCAGGCGTGAGGAGGGCGAAGTTTCTCCGCGGCACCGGGCGGCACAGGGACAGCGGGGAGGGAAGGACCTGGCCCCCGTGGTGCTGGGGGAGCTGACACCGCCGCCGCCAGCAGAGCAGCCCGGCTTTGGCCATGAAGAGGAAACAGAAGAGGTTTCTGCAAATGACGCTGCTCTTCACCGCGGCTCTGATTTTCCTGCCTGACATCGGCCTCTGGTCTCTCTACAAGGAGAAGCACCTGGTGAAGCCGCCCGAGCCCGCCGAGCCGCAGGTAGGTCCGAAGCTCCCCCCGCGGAGCCCAGCTCAGCTCAGCCCCGCCGCGCTGCCGCTTCCCGGGGCTCGGCCCGGCCCCTGTCTGCCGCCGGGCTGGGGGGTCCGGCCCCGGCGCGGGGTGCGCCGAGCGGAGCGGAGCGGGGAGCGGCAGCACGTGCGCTCGTCCTGCCGCCGCGCAGGGGAGAGAAAGTTGTGAGCGAACATCTGAGCCCGCCGGGCTGGGCTTCCCCGGCAAGGACGGGCGTGAGCAGCCACACAGGCTGCCTGTGAAATTAGGAGGACGTGGGATTTTGTGTGCTTCGTTGGTGAGCCGAGGGTGATGCTGGGCTCTGATTTTCATTACGAAAAGTGGAGGTTTTACCGCAACTTTTGTCTGCCTGTCTTGCAGTACTTCTCGGACTGATGTGTGGCTGTAGGTCCGGTGAAATTGCTCGAGATCCGTCTAGGTGTCTTACCGCTGAGATTTTTTTGTTTTCTCTTCTGTTGAAAACTCGACAGAAGTAACAGACAGTATTCTTCTCTTCTGAATATTATTATTGTGACCTGATACAGCTACACTATGTGTAACTGCTTGTCAAACTAATGTCACAACAAACTCCCGAATATTTTCAGTTTACTGTTTCCTCAATCACTATTATTAATAACAGTAGTTGTCATAAACTGTTTTTTTTTCTTGAGTTATTCTTTGACTTGCTGGATTCGTGTATGGCTCGTAAATCACAGTATGACCTGCATTAAGTGAAGTTTAGTTTTAAGGGAGTTGTTGTAACGTAGTTCTTTATAACCCTGCCTGTAATTTACCAAAGCTTATGTTTGTTCTGCTCAACAGTGCTCCTACACTATAACTGTCAGTGTAATTTAAATTTAACATGATATTTCATAGATCATTAGTAAGAAATTAAGGGATTGTCTGATCTTTTAGCTTGTTTACCACTTGCATTGCCTTCATGTTAAAGTGTATTAGATGGCATAACTTATAATTTCATTGTATTAGTAGTCATTTCAAGGGTCATCACCCATGTATGTAATGCACTTTCCACATACCAAACTTATTTAAATCAATGACATCAACAGTAACATATTTGATTCTTTATTAATATAGCTATCCATTACAGAAGTTAGTCCTCCAAAATATTGTAACTTTGGTTAATGAAATATCCTGAATATTACTAGAGTAGGAAGTTAGGAATAGCTTCTTAATTTGAAGCTTACTTTATCTTTCCATGGGTTTTTAAAATGCAGTAGGTGTCAGCTGCTAGAATTTAGTTGGAAGTAATTTCTGCTGAAAGAAAATTATACACAATCATAAGTGTCTGTCATTAGTTTACAAGGTGCACACTGCAGTCTTTGCAGTTTCCAATGCAAATAATGATTGCCATGTGTATTGCATGGCTTTTTAGAACACACATGCCTTGACATAGGATATTTCTAATGTTCAAGACTGCACTTTTAAGTAAGGCATGATTAGTTAGCAGTCAAAGGGAGATACCTTTCTTTTTTAAATTAAAAAAAAAAGAAAAAAGGGTTGTGGATAAAGTGGTGGAAGAAAACGTTGGAAATAAGCAGTTGGGCATACGTGAAGGGCTAGTGAGACTTGCTAATGAGACACCAGAAAATTTTAAATCCTGAGTTTTCTGAAGAGGTCTTTTTACTAGCTTCCTTTTTTCTCACACTTTTTTTTTCCCCTTTCCCTTTTCTCCTAGCCAGAATACTAATTGAGGAGTAATGGGACTGTTTAATGGGGCAACAATAAAAAATGAGCAGTGCAACTTCGAACCTTACAACTGACTCTAGTGTTATTCTATTATCATGAAATATCTGTTAGCATTCAAATCATGTTGGCAATGTCATTACCCAGTGGGGAAAACCAGGTTGAGGTACAGGTGAGTAATACAGTTAGGTTACTTCTGTCTTTAGCTGTGCACTGTTATAACCCAAAACAATTAGAAGGAACAAGGGTTGAAATACAAGTTTGAGTTCAAGTCCCTTAAATACAAAGGAAATGTTAAGACTTCTTTGAGACTTTACTAAAAATGAGGTCATGCTAGAAGATACTGCGTTAGAAGTAGCATCATAGTAGAACTGTAACTTTCTTTTTCCCTAGTAATTTAGTAAGGCATGCAAGAATTTACACACTCAGCGCAGTCATTCTTTGCCCTTGAGGTATTCAATTACTTTGTACTTAGTGTGACTTAGCACAAGTTTGGAGGTCAGTCCTACTGAAACTGCAGCAGACTTTTCTTATGGATTCTAAGATTGTGTTAGGTTACATAGGTGTGTATTCAGAGTCAGCATGTGATAGTGATGTATAGTCGGACTGCTGTGGTGTGTCTTGACCAGGGAAGAGAGGCAGAGCTGTCTATGACTTTGATAATTTGATTACAGGCTGAAGTGGTTTCGCCCTCATGGGTAAAATGTGTGTCTAGTGGTATTCTGATATTGACAGTAATGTTTATAAAAGTGCCATCTTGTTTTAAGAACAATTAAATTAATGTTATTGATCATCAGGTGTTTTTGAAGAGATGGCATAGGGAAATGATGTTTTGCCTAGTTACAAATTAAACTTTCCAATTCATTGCTAAAACAGACATCCCCAAGCTTCCCTGTGAATGAGGGCTCTGTCAGCCTCGCCCATCACTTCAGCTGTTTGCTAGAGCACCAGAGCAAAGGAGGAATAGCAGACTGATGGAGGAGGCATTGATATCCTGACAGCAGTAAGCAGAGAAGCTGTTTGAAAGCAGTCCATAATGCAAAAATAGGCTGTTTCTATCAGTGGTAGAACAGTGTCCCCTGGGGACTGTGTCATTCCCAGTGCCTAGAAGAGGTAGTTGTATTCTTTAGTGCTATCTAGAAATTCTAATATGACAAAAGTAAGTTGTCTTTTTTATTCATTAAAACAGTGCTACAATAAGTTACATTAGAGTATTTTTTGTCACTGTGCAAATTCTGTTTCTGAGCAGAGAAGCTCTTCTGTAGGAAAAACTAAAAGATGAGAAAATGGTATTGACAACTGTGATTTCAGACAACATTAATGATTTTGTTCACTTTACATGAATTCTGTAAACATTATTAATCTCTGTGAACCTCCTTTTCATAGAAACTTTCTATAAACTTTTGTGGTTTTGTAGGTTTTTCTCTTGAGAACTTAATAGGCTTGATCTTTATATTTTGATAATTGATTTTTACTTTTGGTTTCTCACAGTATTTAAAGTGGAACTTCAAGAGTAAAGGTACCTATGTTAAGATTCTGAGTTACATGGTGCAACAAGATCTTCGTAAAATATAGTTTGATAGTAAAGTGGCACACATGAGATAAAAAAATGATAATTTCTGATTTAAATCTTTCTAAGTCAGTCTTCCTTGCTATATTGTGGCAATAAGGGAAGTTGGATAGGGCATTTTTATTGCCTTTTTAAAAAAGTCTTATTCCTTAACACATTATGGTGTCCTTGAGTTTTGATTGCAGTTTCTACAGGTAGTTTAATTGGGGTGTGTGTGTGTTTGTTTTTGTTTTGTGATTGAGATATTATATATATATGATATAAGAGTCCTATCTGATCTTTTGATAAAATTCCAAAGCCAGTTTTTTGGATATTAAGTTATGCTAATAAAACTTAATTTCAATTTTGTTTTCTGTGGAAGAAAAACAATAATGTAGTACAACCAGTAGGATGTAATCCTGGTCCAAACCTGGTTATTTTATACTGTCTAAAGTTAGTGCTACTTTGTTTGGCCACAGTAAGGTTTTATCCTTGTCTGTTTATACACTTTCAATATATGAAACATAACTTCATATGAGAGAACCAAATTTCTTGCAGCAGCTTTCTAGTGTCCACAGTGTAGGTATTTGATGAAAAGTGTTGTGAGATACGTTTCTTTCTGTTTATATGGGATGCCAGTGTGGGTGTCTGAAAGGAGGGCAGTCTAGTGAAGTAACCTAATATATTTCAACTTCACTTTGTACTTTTTTTCATTGAGTTGTCACCTTCCTGCTACCCAGTGTCAAATCTCCCCACTTAAAGTTGGATTGAACAACAGCATCCCTTAGTCACAGATGCTCTGTAATACATTCTCAGTGTATTAATGAAATGCTTTATGATGTGTAAAGGAAGGAAGGAAGGTAGATTTCTGGCTTCATTTGACTTATACTGTGGTGCAGTGAGGCACGCTACTTTAACCTCCTGGTTGAGGCACTTCTGCCAGAGCAACTCTTGATGGTTTTGGTCCTTTTTATTTTGGAGCTTGCATGGTGTCCAGAACAAAGAGCAAAATACAGCTGTGCTGTGAGGGGAAAGCATTGTTCCATGGGATAGAGTCACACTCTCTTTCCTTTGTTCTGTTAAGTCTTTATTTCTATGTGGCTAGCCCCAGGATTGCCTCTTTCTCATGGGATATATGAGGTATGGATTCAAATGAACTCCTTAGGATAAGGAGGACTTAGTCCTTGCAAATCCTGTGGTCTTGTGTTATAGTTGGCAAACAGGCACAGAATTGACCTTCTAAGCCCAGTGGCTGTGAAAGTACTGACTTTGTCTTCTGAATCTAGGAAGCGGTTTCAGCCTGAAATCTGTCTTGCAAACAGTCATTAGTTTCTGAAGTCTGTGAAAGAGGTGAAAATTTAAATTCACCCCAAAGTGCAATGTTTCCTAACGTTTAGCACACAAGTTCTGGTAATCATAAATTTTCCAGGACAGTTAACTGTGTTAACTTACTGTTGATTGCAGTGAAGTACAAAGCTTGGTTTGGTGAATTCTCTTTCTAGAGCTGCATAAAAGCTGTGTCTTGACAGCAAAACTTTCTTCCACCTTCCCCCCCCCCCCAACTTAGCTATATTTCCATTGTTTTTCCAGTTGATTTCAACAGCTGCAAAATTTTGTGCAAATTATGGTTTGGTTTAGGACACAAACACACACCTATTTTCTCTTATTACACTGTCAGGACACTGTCAGTTAGTTCCATTGTCTCACCTTTGCTTTCACTGCAAACTTATGAGGTGGG